AGCAGCTAGGATAATGAGAATTTCCCACCTCTTTCTGTTATTTGCAATCCTTCTATCATTAAGCTTTTTTTAAAAAAAGAAAACTTGGAATAGACAATGGAACAGCTTAAAGGGAGGAATGTGTAGATCTAAAGAAAGGCTAGAAAGGACAATCTGATCTGGACAGTTCAGTTCCTGGTACAGATTGAGACATCCGTTTAAAATGTCTCTAGAAAAGGAATGGATAATTGTCTTACAAAAATAAATAATTTTAAGAATTTTAATTTTAGATAAGGAATTCCAAGACTTCCTTCTCTTTGTAGATTCCAGGTAGGGTGCCTACTAGAAGGTCTACTGCCAGGAAGGACAGACAAACTCATCAGCAACTAGTATTGTAAATTCCAGTAAATAAAGGAGATGTTTTTGTTGTATGCCTTCAAGTTATTTGGCAACTCTAATACGAACCTTTCACAGGGCTTGCTTGGAAAGATTACTTCAGAGAATATTTGTCATTGTCTTCCTCTGTGGCTGGAAGAGTGTCACGGTCACCCAATGGATTTTGATGGCTGAGCAGGGATTTCAGCCCTAGTCTCCCAAGAGTTCTAGTCCAACTGTCCAATGATTAAACAACATTATATCTTATAATTTCTTAATTATTGTTAAATGAATCTCCCCAATTAGCAACTCAACTTTCTAACTACTACATATTCTGACTTTCAGCATGAGAAATATCTTGGTGACATTGTGTATGTGTAGCACCTGGACAAATTGTAAACTGCAGATTGTATGTGGCTCCTGGAGGTACCTTTGTGTCCCACTCCCCTCAGTAAAAATAGTTTTGCTTTCCTCCAGAATGCTGCCAAATGCATTTAGAGTAGAGGGTAAACAATTTTTGCAAAAAATAAAAAATAAAATAACATTGCTCTCCAAATGCTTTAAAGTGTACAGTACATTTCCAATATACAGCAGAGTCTCACTTTGAAGACTACTCGGAAACTCCAACTGGTCCAGCGGGAGGCAGCCAGATTGCTCACCGGAGCAACATACAGGGAGCACACCACCCCCCTGTTGTGTCAGCTCCACTGGCTGCCGATCCAATTCCGAGCACAATTCAAAGTGCTGGTTTTGACCTACAAAACCCTATACGGTTCCGGCCCAGTGTATCTGTCCGAACGGATCTCCTTCTACGTCCCACCTCAGAACCTAAGATCCTCTGGGGAGGCCCTGCTCTCAACCCCGCCTCTATCACAAGTGAGATTGGCGTGGACGAGGAGCAGGGCCTTCTCGGTGGTGGCCCCCCGCCTGTGGAATTCACTCCCTGGGGAGATTAGATTGGCAACGTCCCTTCTCTCATTTAGGAAAAAGTTGAAAACCTGGATATGGGACCAGGCATTTGGACATTCTGGCAGCTAAAGAAAGACTTGATGACGAGCTGGAATTTGATGAGACGGAATGGACTTACGGAACTCCGAACGCTGAGCTCAGGATTAGTCTACTACTGTGTTATTGTATTGTTTTGTATTGATGATTTTAATTTTTAATTTGTAATTGTTTAATTGCTTTTATATATGTATGTATATGTGACAAAGGCATCGAATTGTGCCTTCCTCTGTAAGCCGCCCTGAGTCCCCCCTTGGGGGTGAGAAGGGCTGGGTAAAAGTGACAGAAATAAATGATAAAATAAATAAATTATCCAGCCTTCATTCATCCAATGTCCTATATTATCCAAGGCAGTCTGCCTCCCACCCGAATCCACAGCTTTTTCAATACATTGCAATGTTTTGGTGCTAAATTTGTAAAAACAGTAATTACTACATAATATTACTGTGTATTGAACTGCTTTTTCTGTCGATTTGTTGTAAAATATTATGTTTTTGTGCTTAATTTGTAAAATCATAATGTAATTTGATGTTTAATACGCTTTTCCTTAATCTCTCCTTATTATCCAACATTTTTGCTTATCCAACATTCTGCTGGCCTGTCCGCCTGCCTTCCCAAGAGATTTGGAGGATTTTTTTTGAGGCAACGCTAATGGAATTGTTCCAGGAATTGAGTGTGACATCTGTAGACAGTCCACATTTCACAGGCTTATAGCAGGATTAGGAGGAAAATTGCTTTATAAACAAGCACCTTGGTATCTCTACAGATGTCCCAGTCCTGAAGCACTTTCTGCTTCATTCAGAAAATGCTGCACTTGCAGAGCTCAGGAGGTGTTGTATTTTGGCGTCAATGCTAACCTTTGTCAACATTTTCTAATGTTACACCATTAAGCTGTATTTCTGGAATTGCAGAGGGATTGGCCGGTAACTGCTGGAAGAGCACTTTGGTTTTCTCAGTGTTCAGTGACAGTTCGAGCTTCTCGTATGTTTCTGCAAAGGGGTTTCGAGTGGTTTGTAGGTCTTCTTCTGAATTTGTACAGACTACATTGTCATTGACATATGGAGTTCTATAGCAGATGTTGTTGTGACCTTGGTTTTGACTTTCAGTCTGCTGAGGTTAAATAGCTTGCCATCTGTCTAATAGATGATTTCCACTCTGGTGGGAAGCTTCCCATCAACAAAATGAAGTATCATAGTGATGAAGATGGAAAATAAGGTTGGGGGCAATAACACATCCCTGTTTGATATCTGATTCCACCTTTAATGAGTCACTATAGAATCTTTTTAAAAGATTGGGAACTGTTAAATGTCTATTTGGAAAATCTAAAAATACCAACAACTGGCGTCTTAAATTGAATAAAGGACATTGAACTGACAAAGGACTAAAGTTGATGGAAAGTATCTTCCAGCATTATTGAGAACACAAGGTGGAGTTGCCCTACTTACTTGGAAGTAAACACGATTAAACTCATTGAAACTCACTTAGAATAAGCATCCATATGACCTATGCATATGCACTCTCCTAAGAAATATGGTAAGGTGTCCTGAATACAGTAACGACTGCAATTGTTTCACCTTTCAAAATTGTATAACAAACTAAAGCATACTGCCCATACTGCTATTATATATACAGTAGGCAGATTTAGTTATGCCAAAAACTCATCACAGTAATGTTTTGATCAGTACCTTTAAGAACTTAATTTTTAATGTGTGTTTGTAGAATTTTTATGTGGTATTTGTGTGTTTTTAACTGTGCTGTGACCCGCCTTAAACCGTGGGGAGAAGCAGGTAAGAAATAAAATTATTATTATTAATAAACTTTTTTTATTTTATGTGTCATGGGGAAAAGAAAAATGTCAGGTTTCTGTTAGGTATGAAAACTTGTCAGTGAGCAAATACCACGCATCTTATTATAATATTATGGAACATTAATTGGCTGCATGGATTGATCATTCAATCGAATAGGAAAGCATTCTGGATGAGGACTGCTAAGGGAAGAGATTCCTTTGTGTAACTCGGGGTCCTTCCAGACAGGCCCTATATGCCAGACCTGATCCCAGTTTTCTGTTTATCGCAGATTATCTAGCAGTGCGGACTAACCTGGTTTAAAACAGAAACTTGGGGTCAGATCCTGGGATATAGGGCCTGTCTGGAAGGGCCCCTTAGCAAATCAAAATTGTGTTGGTAGCGCTTTCTTAATCAGGCCACTTCAGAGGGTGCATCTACGCTGGAGACTTAATGCAGTTCAACATAATTTTAATAGTGATGGCTCCATGCAATGGAATCCTGGAAGGGATAGTTCTAAAAGTCCTTAAGTATTGCCGACTTAGGGCCCTTCCAGACAGGCCCAATATCTTAGGATCGGATCCCAGGTTTTATATTATATGTGTCCTCATTACCAGATAATCTGGGATAAACAGAAAAACTGGTATTAGATCCAAGGATAAAGGGCCTGTTGTCAGGAAGGGCCCTTCCATGCAGCCCTATATCCCAGAATATTAAGGCAGGAAATCCCACATTATCTGAGTGTGGACTCAGATAGCCCAGCTCAAAGCGGATATTGTGGGATTTTCTGCCTTGATATTCTGGGATACAGAATAATAGATTCATAGAGTTGGAAGAGTCCTCTTTAAGCCAGCTCTTTAAGTCACTCTTTATAGGGCTTCTCCAGACTCTTGAGGAGCAGCTTAAAGAGCTGGGAATGTTTAGCTGTTTAGGGCTCTTTGGAAGGGCCCTCAGTCCTGATGCCTAACCAAACTACAAGTCCCAGAATCCTATAGCACTGGGTCATGGAAGTAAAAAGTGGTGCCAAACTGCATGCATTGTAGTGTATATAGCCCAGATGGAACCCATGGGGTCTCCATGGGCCCTTCCACACAGCCATATAACCCAGAATATCAAGGCAGAAAATCCCTCAATACTTGCTTTGAACTGCGTTATCTGAGTCCACATTGCCATATATTCCAGCTCAAATCAGACAATGTGGGGTTTTATTCAGCTGTGTGGAAGGGGCCTCTAAGGGCCCTTCCAGACAGGTCCTATATCCCAGGATTTCTGTTTATCCCAGATTATCTCACAGTGCGGACTCATACAATCCAGTTTAAAGCAGAAGACCTGGGATCAGATCCTGGGATAAAGAGCCTGTCTGGAAGGGCCCTGGTGCCCCTTCCACACAGCTGAATAAAATCAAAGTTCTGCTTTGACCAGGAATATATGGCAGTCTGGACAGATAACCCAGTTCAGAGCAGACATTGTGGGATTTTCTGCCTTGATATTCTGGTTATATGGCTGTGTGGAAGGGCCCTTTCAGTGGTTCTCAACCTGTGGGTCCCCAGCTGTTTTGGCCTACAACTCCCAGAAATCCCAGCCAGTTTACCAGATGTTAGGATTCCTGGGAGTTTGAAGGCCAAAACATTTGGGGACCCAAAGGTTGAGAACTACTGAGTTTCATGCACATTACGGTCCACTTTCCAAGCTGGCGTCAAAGGGGAACCCACGTTCTCATGCCCTTCTCGCCTCTCCTCGGTGACTGAGCCTCTTTCCGCCTCTTCGCTCCGCCCACAGCCCGGCGGAGGGGCAGAGCCTTCCCGCCCGACGCCGTGTCACGTGGCCCCTCCTGGCCCCTCCCCTCCTTCACCGAGTCCGTCCCCGTCTTCCGCCCTCCCAGCCGCGCTTCCGGCGGTAGGTACTGTCCGTCCCCTCTTCCGCTCTCCGCTGCCAACCGCGCTTCCGGCGGTAGGTAGAAAAATCTTTATTTGATGGGAAATGTTCCTGGGGGGAGGGAGGGCCGGCGGGTGGCTCGCGAGGGGAGCTGAGGAAGGTGGCGGTTGTGTGGATGCGCCCTCCAAACAGATGGAGTAAGCAATAACACAACCCGGGCGAAGGGAAGGAGGGGAGCGCCCCACTCGTCGCGGCTCCCCCCTGAGGCGCTGCTGTTGGGGAGCCGCTGAGGAGGCAGGCAGGCAGTCTGGCTGTCTCCCTCCTCGGGTGAGGCGCCTGGCTTCCAAGCCAAGGAGGGGAGGCAGCATCAGCAGGCCTCCCCTTCCACGCCAGCAGCCCAGGGATTGGTTGACAGAGTGGACAGCGAAGCTCCTGAAAGCCCAAGGTGGGAACCCACAACCCACTGACTCCCCATCCCTTTCAGGATACAGTTGGAACATCCCATATAGGAAATGTGTGGGGTCAGGACTGTTTGAGATTTTGGAATACTTTGCCTGTATACACCAGGCATGGGCAAACTTCGGTCCTCCAGGTGGACTTCAACTCCTACAATTCCTGACAGCCTACCGGCTGTATTTGAAATGACATCTTCTGAACAGACAGCAAAACAAGGGGTGCTAACCTTTCCCTATGCTATCAGAACACACACACACAGGGACGGCTCAACCCATTACGCAAAGTAAGCATTTGCAGTATACTTGATTTTGCCCAGGGGCGCTCTTGAGGCGCTCTTGGGGGAAAATAGACCTTGACATATGTGAGTTGTATTTACTGGGATATATAGTTCACCTACAATCAAAGAGTATTTTGAACTCCACCAATGATGAAACTGAACCAAATACAGCACACAGAATTCCCACAACGAACAGAAAATATATATCAGTGATTGGTTGGTGGGAGGGGCACCAAAATACTGTTTGCTTACCATTGAAAATTGCCTGGGGCCGCCCCTGCACACACATTTATATATACTTGGCTGGAGCTAGACTTAAAAATGTACCTGTTCTGACTTACATACACATTCAACTTAAGATTTAACCTACAGAATGTATCTTGTGTGTAACTTGGGGACTGCCTCTGGTGGCGCAGTGGGTTAAAATCCTGCGCTGGCAGGACTGAAGACTGACAGGTCGCAGGTTCAAATCCGGGGAGAGGCGGATGAGTTCCCTCTGTCGACTCCAGCTCCTCATGCAGGGACATGAGAGAAGCCTCCCACAAGGATGATAAAAACATCAAATCATCTGGGCGTCCCCTGGGCAATGTCCTTGCAGACAGCCAATTCTCTCACACTAGAAGCAACTTGCAGTTTCTCAAGTCACTCCTGACATGACAAAACAAACAAACAAAAAACTTGGGGACTGCCTGTAATATAGAATCATAGAATTGGAAGAGACCTCATGGGCCATCCAGTCCAATCTCCTTCCAAGAAGTAGGAAAATTGTCGAAGGCTTTCATGGCTGGAATCACTAAGTTCTTGTGGGTTTTTAGAGGCATTTTTCCTAGGAGAAATGCCTCTAGAACATGGCCATATAGCCTGAAAAAACCCATATGAACTTAGTAGGAAAATTGCATTCAAAGCACACCCAACAGATGGCCATCAAGCCTCTGTTTAAAAGCTCCCAAAGAAGGAGCCTCCACCACACTCTGGGGCAGAGAGTTCCACTGCTGAATGGTTCTCACAGTCAGGAAGTTCTTCCTAATATTTAGATGGAATCTCCTTTCTTGTAGTTTGAAGCCGTTGTCCCGCATCCTAATCTCCAGGGCAGCCAAAGACAATATGTTTTCTCTATAAATCTCTAGGTCCTCCAAAACGACTCTTATCAGCCTCATCAGACTTGAGCGGTGGTTCTCACCTTTGGGCCTCCAGATGTTTTGGACTTCAGCTCCCATAGTTCCTAACAGCTGGTAAGCTGGCTGGGATTTCTGGGAGTTAAAGTCCAAAACACCTGGAGGCCCAAAGGTTGGGAAGCATTGTGCTAGAGCATAGATCCAGTTTAAATGTGATTTCTGCCTCCTGAAGAAATCTGGGTTTTGTAGTTTAGTGAGACCCAGGACCTGTCTCGCTGAGCAGTTTAAAGGCCCTCCCTTTAAAATACAAACCCCCAGAATTCTGCAGGAGATAAAAACTGGATTTAAAGCGTCCCCATATTCTAGTGTGATGAGGTCCCATGGTCAACTTTTACAGAGGACTAGACATTTCTTGAGAAATGTTTGCTCCGGCCTAAAAAATGAAAAGGAGTTTTCTTTCATCTTTCCTTTTTCCACTTTCACGTGGGTTCTAGTCCCCTAATCCCCCCTCCAAATGGAAAGTCTACTGTATTATGTACAGAGTTCCCTTAGTGGAGCATCTCATGCAAATCTGAGTTTGAGAGCATGCCATGGTGTATGAAAGAGATGAAAATGGGCAAAGCAGAAATAATGAGCATGTGTTTCTGAACTTACTACATATATTCATTCTGAAATTCCATGAGCCAGGTTTCTTATTCCATCCTCAGCAAATTGCTAGTGCCTGAATGAACAAGGCAGGTGGGCTCATGCACACACCGAAAACCAGCAGCTTTTCTTGTTCCTCCCAATGGAGGCATGGGCCAGTTGACTGTTAGGAATTGTGGGAGCTGATGTTTAAAACACCCGGAGGGCCAAAGTTTGCACATGCCTGTGATACACAATGAGATATCTTGGAGAGGAGAACCAACCCCAAATACAGAATTTACATTTCATACAGCTTTATACAAGTTGAGGGTCCCATGCCTGTGCCTCTTCGGGTTTTGAAATACCCATATTTGCATAAAGAGTTATCTTGGAGATGTAAACCTGTGTAAACCAAGTGTAAACCTGAAACCCACATATGTTTCGTATACATATCCTCTGGCTTTATACAGATTGAGTATCCCTTACATGAAATGTTTGGGACCAGAGATTTTCCACATTTTGATTTTCCCTCCCAGATTTTGAAAGATTTACATGTACTTAATGAGATTGCTTGGAGATGGGATCCACGTCTAAATACAAAATCTGTGATTCATATATATGGCCTCTAGCTTTATACGAGTGATTATAGCATAGTTTAAATTCAAAAGCCATTTCTTGTTTCATACACATGACCTCTGGCTTTATGCAAGTTGAGTTTTATTCCTTCAATGAAATGGTTGGGACCAGAAATGTTCCATATTTTGATTTTCTTTCAGGTTTTGGGATATTTGCATATACATGAAATATCTTTGAGATGAGATGCAAGTCTAACTAAGCTAGAATCATGGGTCAACCAAAACAACATAATTGGCCCAGAACAAGCAGGATTCTCTAAGGGGAAATCAACATTAGACCAGACTCACATCTTGGCCCACCTAGCCAACAAATACTCAAAAAATTGCCCTAATAAGCTAAACGTGGCCTTTTTGGACCTGAAGGGGGCATTTGACTCTGTGAATAGAGAAAAGTTGTGGGAAAAACTAGCAGCCCTCAACATAGACCCAAGACTCCTCTTCTTGATTAAGAAATTGCACAACCAA